CTTAATTTTTTTTTTCTTTTTTAAATATTTCCCAATTTATGTTTAACAGAGCAAGGAAATTTTCACCGCATGTGAGATAATATTTTTCTTCTAAAGAAAGTCGTATTTGTTTTATTTCGGCTAGACTAAAAGCAGTGTTTATTTTGTTAGACACCAATGTAAGGACTAATTTATTAGCCCCTTTCAGCTAATTTTTTACCGACTGTCTGTAGAACAAAAAAAATAATTATACAATAACTTGCCTAATTACCCTAATCTGCCAAGTTAACCTAGTTAACCTAGTTAAGCCTTTAAATGCCACTTTAAGCTATATAGAAGAGTCTTGAAAAAATATCTTGTAAAACATTATTTACTGTCACCATGCAAAGATAAAATAAATCAATTATTAGAAATGAGTTATTAAAACTATTATGTTTAGAAATGTGTTAAAAAAAGTCTTCTCTTCGTTAAACAGAAATTGGGGAAAAATAAACAGGAGGTCTAAAAATTCTGGGGGGCTAATAATTTTGACTTTGTATATTGGTATATTGGTTGACAGCTGTATATTGGTTTATTTTGAGTCAGAGGGGGGTATCAGGCATGCAAAAATTAAGCAGCTTCTGGTTTAGTGCTTAACATTACTGGAGTCGCGACTTAAATCAAATGATTCAATTCGATTTGGTGAATGAGTTCATTCAGTTCACTTAGAAGATCTGGTTAAAAAGAACAATTTGTTCGTGATCACTAATACAGAAATAAAACCCATTGTTGAGTACAAATGTGTTAAATTAATATTTTTAAGTGTCTGCTCAGATCATATTTAATGTTGTCACCGTGCTGCTGTCATGTCCACCAGGTCCAGCCATTTGTTTGGGAGCAACAGCGTGGATGACTGAAAGAGAAGTGGCTTGACCTGGTCAACGGCAGCAGGATTACAGACTTTGGGGTGCTGTATGGGTCAAACACCTGGCAGGGTGAATTAAATAGATTTACTTCTAAAAGGCTTACAGTATGTATTAAATACATTTATAAAGACAAAAACGAAGGACGTTTTTGCAATAAGTGTTGTTAGTTTCAGTTAGTTTTGTATTTACACAATACAGTTTTAGTTCTAGTTTTTAAAAACTCCTCTTTTTTTTATCATTGCTGTGAGTTTATTGCTTAACTTGATATCTAATTATCTGATGCATGGATGTCATAACTGTTTGTATTTCCACCAATCCAAAATTATATTTTTTAACATGGTATAATAAAAAATCTTTAGGATATTTTGAGCTGAAACGTCACATACATACTCTGCGGACAAAAGCTTATCTTACACCTTGTAAAAAAAGAGTTACAAAAGGCCTCTTTAAGTCATATGCAAGCAAAAACTATGCCAATCAATCAATCAATCAATCAATCAATCAAACAATCAATTTTAATGTTTACAATGTAGTTAGTGCCAACTAATCATTTCAGTCCTAATGATCCGTTATAATAATTGTGTAATTATTACACATGATGTCTGGGGATAAACAACTGCAGTTTGTCCCAACGAAACATTTTAAAATTAAGGAAATCCTTATATTTTATAATATATAATGGTATATAAATAATATATATAAGGTTTTTTTTTTAATTGAAGGTTTTAGGGCATATTATAACTGGGTTTATGGTTGCCTTCACAACAACAAAGAAATAATTTTGATTATTAAGAGTCTGGTGAGAAGAAAACAACATCTGCTAAGGAGCAGAAAACAAACATTTTCATTAACAGCACAGTTCCCAAGTGAAGTGGTCTGCTCATAGGTCCAAGCAGGTCAGAAAATTGTAACTAGCCCAATATACAAGGGTGTTAATTGTTAAGTTGTTTTGACATCCATTGCACTTGGAAGCAATTCACTAGACTATAAACGTTTAAATATAATGATAAAATTAAGAAACACTGCCAACTTTTGGACAGTTAAGCCACAAATATGCATTACACTTTATTGTAATGTCAACAATACTACTTATTTTAAAACAGACATTTAATGGAAGTAACGAACATGTTTATTGGAGGATATTAATAGCTCATTTGTAGACCATCATTATTATGATTGCATTGTTTGTTCCTTATCACTTTATTTCAATAGTTCCCTTTGGACATTCTGTTGACTTAGTAATTTTGCATCTACGTCAGCAACTGTACTTCTAATCAGAGTATTTTTAGACTGTTAGATTATGGTTAGGAATTGTAGACTGATTTGATACCTGCAAAGATTCTCTAGAATATCTATTAAGGAGCCATTACAATAAGTGTAAGCATACAGTATAATAAACAGACACTCCACCAGTACTAAAATGACTGCGAACTGCCATGCCGTGTTTTTAAATTATTCTTCTAACACTGAACCTAAACCTAACCTAAGTCTACTAATACTAATAGCTAGTAGCTGACATGTTATTGTGAATGTACTTACAGTATCATCAACAGAAAAATCTAACCTGCATGATGAAAACAGAATGGCATAAAAGAAAAGCTGATGCAGACACTCACCACATCTATGATTTGAAGCAGTGTGAGTCCCAGCTCCACCACTATGGGTGCAGAATCATTGAGAACAGGCCTTTCCAGTCTGTTATAGTTCTCCATCAACTCCTTATACAACTTCCGCTGATATTCCCCCTGTAAAGAGCCTATATGAGAAAGAAAGATAGAAAGAAAATAAACAATACAATTCTGTCTTTGTTTCTAAACAAATCTGTTTGACTTTTTATGACAGTATGGCTCACATTAGATATGTTGAGAAGTGTTCTTATTTGTCTAGAACAGGGGTGTCGAAACTCTGTCCTGGAGGGCCGGTATCCTGGAGAGTTTAGCTCCAACTTTATTCAAGCCACCTGAACCAGCCAATCAAGTTTTTACAAGGGCTGTGTCCAAAACCACCTACTACTGCATTTGAATTTAAGCGTACTACTCGGCCATTAGAAAAGTACGTTCTATGCAGTTTGAATGTGAAAAGTATAAATGGAATTCGGATGTACTACATCCGCCATTTTGTCATTGTCACGTGACGAACCTGCGTTGCTTTACTCCCATTCATGAATTCTCTCGAGGGGCATCATGGGATAGTGCAGCGTGCATGGGATGCGCACTACAGAATCTCGCCGGAAGTAGTAGGTCATCCGGGTACTTCTCGCATACTGGTTTTTGAATTCTATAAATTCCGACATTCTACTCGGCTCGCAAACTGATTTTAGCGTACTACATAGTATGGAAGAATGCGGTTACGGATGCAGCCTAGATATACTAGAAAGCTTCTGGAAGATGTGATGAAGCAAGTTGGAACTTAACTCAGCAGGACATCGGCCCTCCAGGGTCGGGTTTGAACACCACTGGTCTAGAAAGACTTAACTCTTTATTTCTGAAACACTTGAGGTGTTTTAATTTTTATATAATACAATAAAACATCCACTTTGGTTCATTTTAATTCTAGCAAACTTTAGAATTAATAGATTTTGAGCTTTTTGTGCCATTTTTGTCTGAAAGTGTTTAAAAAAGAGATGGATTAAAACAGCAAGTGTAAACAAAAGTTATTGTACTACTTCTGATCTGACTAAATCAGATACATCTTAATTTCAAAACTGAATGTCACTAAATGACAGATGGTTTGGGTTTAAATCATTAATTGTTCTTTAGATTTATTTGTTGATTAATTTAGTGATATCAGTGGACCCTTTAACCATATACTGTATATTTGTGAGAAGCAGAAAGCATTGGGTGAATGTCTATAGTACTTAAAATAATCTACAACTAATGTAAAAAAAGGGAAAACACAGAGAGAGCAGAATACGTTGCTTTCTTGCTGTCACTTCATATGCCATTGTATTAAAATCACAGAAACTAGTTTTAACTGTAATTTAAAAATACAAAAATTGTGAAAATATCAGTCTGTCAAAGGAGTTCATATTGTTATATATAGAACCCCACTAAAGGGACAGTCTGAGAGAAGAAAATTATATGTAAAACTGCAGCGTATCAGCAGTATTAAATATTAATAACTGACACACTCCTTGCAAGGGTGGATTTAAGCACTGTGATGTGTACAAATGGGATTTGCTCAAATGTAAAACATGACGAGATGGATTGATGAAATGGAAAATTTCAACAAACTAATGAATGACTCAATATTAGCAGTCAAGGATAATTCAATGTGGATAATTCAATTTTCTTGGAACATCTGTTATGATGTCTATGTTTAGATTGAGTATGGTTAAGCTGTTACATAAGCAGAAGTTCCTTTATAAATCAAAGGAACCAATTCACATTCTATGCGCAAATCATCACTCACACTCTCCTGATTCATATGGGGAAATTAAGAGAAGCATATGTTCTTTCTATCTGTTTGAGTCTGTAGCTGTGACAGAAAGACAGACAGATCATATTATATGCTGGTAGTATAAAGTCAACATGAATACTGATGCAAACTCTCAGCATTTTGACGCAAGACAAATTCATCATCAGTGTCAAACCTGCCAACTAAAAAGCATGCAAAGGCTTTCATCTCTGGGTAGACCTAAAACCTCACTGTTGTTTTTGACAATGTACAGGGCATTCATTTATTTAATCAAAAGTTATGAGATATATTCTCATAACTTTTGATGTATTATAAGTGCAGAATATGTATTTAAAATGCATCAGTTGGATTGTCCATAAAACGGTCCATAGTAATTAAATGCATTCAAACTTAGTGCAATTCTTAAAGGCTAATGAGCTAAGGAATACAAAAATTCTCAAAAATATTTTAACATATAAGAGATCACCAATAAAAATGTGTATTTCGGAATTCATCTTTCTCAGTCTAAAAAAAGCTTGAATTTAAATTAAACTTGCATTGTGGCAACACCAGCTCTAAATGTGCTTAGCTATTCATCTTTAAATAACGATAAAAACAAACACATCTATGCAGAAATCAGTGACATATAGAGCAAACTGCATAGCCCTTAGCCAGAGTGAAGGTGGGGTGCTTTACTTCATAACCAAAACAGCAGGTATAAGTGCACACAGCCTACAATACAGTATAGATTATTTTATGTTAAAAGTATTTACTACAAATGAGTATGCAGTGAAATTATACCCTTTTTTACATTTAAACTATTACTGAAACACTTGTAAAAGCAGACAGAATGGTGGATGACTGGTGAGACCAGAGGCGGAGGATTATGCAATTATTTTAACAAAGCTTGGTGCACAAACTCTGTCATAATTGGGAGACATTGCTCTGTTAACCTGGAATATCTAATGTTTAAATGTAGACCGTTTTATCTGCTACGGGAGTTCACCTCCACCATTATAACTGCAGCTCCTGATGCTGATGCCAAGCTTGCTATGAACGAACTTCATGCAGCCATCAGCAAACAACAGACTGCTCACCTGGAGGCTGCTTTTATTGTTGCAGGAGATTTTAATCACTCAAACTTAAAGACAGTGCTTCCCAAGTTCCATCAAAATATTTTCTGCCATACAAGGCGAAACAAAAACATAGACCATATATACACAAACATGGCTGAAGCGTATGCTGTGACCCCCCTCCCCCACTTGGGTCAATCAAATCACCTTTCTTTGTTCCTCACCCCCAAGTACTCACCCCTCATCACCATGTGAAGCCATCAGTGAGGACCATCAAAGTGTGGCCAGCGGGGGTAGACTCCACACTCCAGGACAGGTTTCAACACACAGACTGGAGTATATTTGCTTCCCAGGCCACCTGTGGCTCTCACACAGACAATGACAGTTACACTTTCTCTGTTCTGGGATACATCAACACCACCAAAGATAGTGTTACAACCCAGAAGCAGATCACTACCTACCCAAATCAAAAGCCATGGATGAACAAGGAGGTGCGCCTCCTGCTAAAGGCATGCAACACTGCCTTCAGATCAGGGGATGCACAGGCCTACAGCACTTTCAGGGCTAATCTGAAGAGGGGCGTAAAAAAGGTCAAGCACTGTTACAGGCTAAAGCTAGAGGAGCACCTTTCCAACTCTGATCCTTGGTGCATGTGGCAGGGCATCCAGGCCATCACCTACTATAAACCTAGCCAGTCCACACCCACAGCCACAGATGTCTCCTTCCTGAACGAGCTAAATGACTTTTATGCCCGCTTTAAAAGAGACAATAAAGAACCGTACACCAGGATCACTTCCTCAACCAACCACTTACCTATCTCACTCACCTCCGCAGAAGTCTACACCGCACTGAGTTGAATCAATGTGTGTAAGGCTGCTGGACCAGACGGTATTCTTGGGCGTGTCCTCAAAGCATGTGCAGAACAGCTTGCTGGGGTATTCGCAGACATTTTCAACCTGTCACTTAACGTGTCAGCTGTGCCAACATACTTTAAAACCATATTCTCCCAGTGCCAAAACACTGCAGCCCAACATGCCTGAATGACTACCGCCTTGTAGCACTCACACCCATCATAATGAAGTGCTTAGAGCGGTTGGTCCTGGCACATCTGAAAGACTCTCTGCCATCAATCGACCCACATCAGTTTGCCTACCATGGCAACAGGAGCACAGAAGATGCTGTGTCCATAGCACTGCACGCACACATCTGGACAATAAAAACACTTATGCACGAATGCTGTTTGTTGACTTTAGCTCAGCATTCAACACTGTCATACCCTCTAAAGTTAATGATCTAACTTAGTTACCCGGATATTGACCCATCTCTCTGCAACTGGGTTATGGACTTTCTGACTAACAGACCTCAGAATGTTGGATCAGGCCACATCTGCTCCACCAGCGTCACACTCAACACTGGTGTACCACAGGGCTGTGTGCTGAGCCCCTTCCTCTACTCCCTTTGTACCATCGACTGTAGGCCTGAGAACAGATCCAACACCATCATCAAATTTGCAGATGACACCACAGTGGTTGGTCTAATCAGCAACATTGATGAGACATTGACTACAGGGAGGAGATACAGCATCTGGTCACCTGGTGCACCGACAATAATCTGTTCCACCAACAAGACCAAGCGGCTCATTGTGGACTTCAGGAAGGGACGAACAGGCTCACATGATCCCATCCACATCAATGGGATGGCCATTGAGCCTGTCTCATCCTTCAAGATCCTGGGGACCCACACCTCAAAGGACCTTTCCTTGGTAAACTTCTACCGTTGCACAATAGAAAGCATCCTGACCAACTGCATCACAGTCTGGTATGGAAGCTGCTCTGTTGCTGAGCGTGAGGCACTGCAGTGGGTGGTGAAAACTGCCCAACGCATCACAGGGATCAAACAGCCAGCCATAGAGGAAATCCAAAAAAAAACACTGTGTGCACCGATCATGCAGTATTCTTAAGGATTTCTCTCACCCTGCTCACAGACTGTTTTCTCTCGTGCCTTCCGGCAGGTGCTTCAGGCTCCCCTGGACAAAAACTAGCAGACTGAGGAACAGCTTTTTCCCCAGAGCTGTCTCCCTTCTAAACCCCCCCACTGACTCTTCTGCCCCCAAAATACACCCCCTAATCTTCTCTAACTTATACTCCTCACAATCACTGCACTATTTAACATTTGCACATTTAAAAATTGCACATATTCATTTCACTACATTCCACTGATTCATTCATTTATTTGAACTGTACATACCCACTACACATGGACATTTGTAGTTATGTGCACACCCACT